CTTCGTGGTCCTCTTCACCATGGATGGATGTATCCGTATGAGCGCGCCATGAAATATTTGAAGGGGAAAGTAAAAAATCTTGCAAAGGTGGAAGGTTCAATAATTGCTGGGAGTTTGACAGCGGAAACATCCCACTTCACATCATACTACTTTGCACCAATAGTACGTACAAGAAAAAGAGTTCTTCGAAGCTATGATGATGGTGGAGTCATCCCCACATAATAAGCAATGTTCCTGATATTTTCTGCCAAATTGGACGGTTTGGTGGTAGATTGCGAGAAATATGGTGGTCTAGTGACGAGGATAAGCATAGTTCCCACACTTATATTCTGCTCAACTGCGAGCATTCAGTGACACGTTCATTTGAAAGGTAAATAGTTATGTGAATTTAAATTATATGAAGTGCGATGTTATATATATATATTGATGTGAATACATTCGTTTAATTTGCAGTTCCTTTGTAACGCAAGTTGAAGCAGCAATACCTAGAGTATCTGCAACTGAAGTGGACCGACGAAAAAGATCAACACTATGTCACGTGGTTAAAATCTCAGGTAATATATATACCTCAAATATTATGTAAGTAATGCTAATATAAATTGTTAAAATACTATTTTTTGTAGGTTGAAGCTGATGATCCATATTACCCCCCATGGTTTCACGATTTGGTCCGAGGTCCAGTAGCGAAAGTCACCACATCACATATGTATTTTACACGTGGTTTTACGTTTCATACATACGACTATGGGAGTCGTCGGGCAACAAGTAACTACGGAATATGTGTGAAAGGCGAAACATACTACTATGGGATCTTGCATGAGATTATTGAAGTGGAATTTGCGGGATTATTGAAGCTCAGATGTGTCCTCTTCAAATGTGAGTGGTTCGAACCTGTTGTGAATAGGGGTGTTCGGGTTAACAAATTTGTTGTTGTGGTTGTCAACTCTTCAAGAAGATACAACAAATTCGAACCTTTCATCTTAGCTTCTCAAGCCGAGCAAGTTAGCTTCATTCCATACCCTCGCCTTAGAAGTTCAGGAAAAACTTGGTTAGCTGTTATCAAGATTACACCTCGTGGACGAATTATTGCTGGGGAAGAACCACCCTTGCAAGAAGAAGCGTGTGTCACTGAAGTAGAAGTACCTGATCAAAAAACTGATGAAATCTTTCTTTTTGATCCGCATAATCATCAATACGAAGATCTTTCCGACGATGTGATGGATGAAACATGTGAAGACAAATTCGAAGGTATAAGCGATGATGATTCTCCTGATGTTGATGAGAACACGAATGATTCCGAATGATGTAAAATATGTACCACATGCTGTAAAATATGTATCAAATGTTGTTTTTTATATCAGTTAACGATGTGTATCAAATGTTGTTTTTTTATATCAATTAATATAATAATTTTTACAAATATTGTTTAGTATATAGTAAGTTTAGGGTTTAGAAAAATTTAGAAGAAGAAGAAGAATGAGAAGAAGAGAAGAAGAATAAGAATAGAAGAAGAAGTAACTTTGGGGTTTAGGGATTTGATTTTCGGGGTTTCATACATTTCGTAGTTAGTTCGTCGTAATGGAAACACGGGCCTGGTAAGTTTGTCGTAACGTGAAAAACACGGGCCTGGTAAGTTCGTCGTAATAGAAACACGGGCCTGGTAAAAGCCTTGTTAATTTACGACGAGCTTACGAGGAAGGCAATTATCTATATAAGCACACTCACATACGAGGCTGCTCGCCTCGTTCATTCCTCCTTACCTTCTCTCCCTCTCCAGGTAACCTCCTCTCTCTTCTTCTTTTTTTTTTTTTAGTTTAGTTTAGTTTTAGTTTAGGTAGTTAATTAGGTGGTTAGTGTAGATGATTAGGTGGTTAGTTTAGATGGTTAGTGTAGATGATTAGGTGGTTAGTTTAGATGATTAGATTACGTAATTAATTAGTTTAGATAATAAGTTTAAGATAAACTGATGATATTTATTTTCTTATTTTAGATGGCTCCTAAACAGAAACCGATTAGACCACCTCCTTCGTATAGTGAGTTGTTTGGTACTAATGGTATCGGGACATCGTCTTCCGGCCCGTCATCTTCCGACCGTGTGCCGGAGTCTCAGACATATTATCCCGGCAATGATATACCATATCATGAGGTGCCTCCACCTTCCGGTCCTACTCGACATCTCGGTACTCATCCCGCACCCGATCCCGATCCCATTCCCGCAGGCGGTGATCAGGTTCATCCAGATTTGCGGGTTCCTCCCAGTGCACCATATGCTGCCTATACAGTGGAGGATCTTCTTGCCCAACCGGGGCGAGAAGGTTTAGATATTCTGGACCCCGATCGTCCGCGGGGTACTTATTGGTAAGGGTTTTTTTTTTCATTCTTAATTTTTTATTTATAAAATTCATAATTTATATTATTTTCCAGGTTTGGAGCTAACAACCGCGTTAGCCGGAGTGTTTCGGACACGATGAAGGGGTACTTTCTCGAGGCCCATCAGAATTGGAGTATGACTCCAGACCACGTGAAGATAATGTGGTTTAATATGTTTGCGGTAAATATGTTTATAATATTTAATATTTATTTTAATATTATTTTTTAATATTTTAAAATTATCGTTTTTGGTTTCAGCAAAAGTGGCATTGGCCATTATCGATCAACGAAAAGGTGAAGGAGGCTTTTATAGCAAAAGCCAAGAATCGTCTTTGCAACACCGTCTCAGATTGGAAGGACAAATGGGAACTCTACGGTTATGAAGGGAAACCCAAGGATATCTCCAACTTTGTATGGAATGGTCTCATCCGCTATTGGAGCCTACTTGCCTCCATCAAAAAGTCCAACTCCTGCTCTTCTTCCCGAAGAACGAAGGATAAGTACGGAAATGACCCCATGCTTCATAGATCCGGCCAGAAGCCTCATGCTGGGATTCGTCTAGATGTTGTAAGTTTTATTTTTAATATTTTTTAAAAATTATTTGCTAATTAAGTAATTAAAAAAATTAACTCTTTTATTTTGTTTGTAGGCCGAGAAGACCGGAGTCATGCCATCTCTCACTGAGCTATTCAGGATGACTCACGCCACACCAGATGGAGTTTTTGTGGATCCACAATCCGAGAGACTCTATAACGATGTGGTTTCTCGGGTTGAGGAGCGGCAGACACAACTAACCCAGCAGGCTCCCGATGGTTCACCCGTCACATTGACTACAGAAGAAGTCGATCGGATTTTTGAAGAGGTAAAAATTTTGAATAAATTTTAATTTGTTTCTTTTTAATTCGATTTTATTAATTATTATTTCAATATTAATAAACCTTTTTTGAAAAAAGGTGGCTCCTAGAAAGAAGGGACGGACGGTGGGAATAGGCTCCGCTAACGAAGTTCCAAGGGCAACTTCTTCGTACACTTCACGCCGGGATGAGGAAACTTCTCAGCTGCGGTCTCAGATGCGGTCCCAGCAGGAGCGTTTGGACTCACTTGAGGATTTGTTGGACATCGTGGCCATCGATAACCCGGTTATGCAGAGAGCGCTAAATGCAAGACGAGCAGCTCTCGGAATGGAGCAGCATCCTCCTGAGTCAACCGGACGACCCGGCCCGGAACTCAGCCGCCCCGACGAGTACCTCCGCACCAACATGCCGTAGTTTTATTTTATTTTATTTGCTTTTGTATTATAAATTTAAGTATTATAAATTTATATATTATTTTATGACTTTTTAATATAATGTTTTTTAAACAATCTTAATTTTAAATTTTTCGTTTTATATTTTAAATTACGAAATTTATAAATAAAAATATATAATTAAATTATATTATATATAAAAACCAAATAATTTCGTTATAAACTTTACAACGACTTAACATCGAATGACAAGTAAGTTCGTTGTAATGTTTACTATGACTTTACATGTTCTACTAGTAATCTACTCGTAAATTTACATCGACTTAACATCGAAGTTTTATATGTCTATTACGTCGAAATGCAACGAGGACATTACGTGGCAGATTAACGTGGAGGTTACGACGAAGTATTCTACATGTCTTTTACAACAAATAGGTTTCGTCGTAACGTTACGTGGACTTTACGACGAAAACTACATTACGACAGGTGTTTAACAACGAAACAACTTTCCTAGTTAATTCGTCGTAAAGGTCGTATTACGACGAATTAACCATGAATATAGTCCTAGTAAAAAAATTGTTTTCTTGAAGTATTTTTCATAATTTGTAATATCATAATTAATCATACAAGAAAAAATCTATCATCAATAAAATACATACCTTATAATAACACACAATACTTTTATGAGATTAAGTCCTAGACAAACCATTGTAAACACGAACCCAATTTCTAAGTGGATAGAATCTAAAATGTGTTTGCTCAAAACTGAGAAATGACTAATAAAAACCAAATCTCAAAAAAAAAAAAACGATTGCTTTTGAGACGATAGGTTGGTGTGGCACTCGCACGTGCGTATCACGTAGACGTAAATAATTTTCCACACCTAGTTTCTAATGAAACGTTTCTCTTATTTGGGTTGGTAATTTGGTACGTCGTGCTTATAAACAAAACACTGCGCTTTGCTTCCACGTCTCTCTCGGTTCAAGATCGTCGTTTTGGTTATTTGTGAAGCAAAAACATAAAATGGGCGTGATCTCTCCTATCGAGACTCTGTTCTTGAAGTCTCAGCATCGTCTTCTTCAAACTCGAGATTATTCCTACCCTGTGGCTTTACGTAACAGTCGAAGAGTTACAAATCTCACACGCAACAGCTTCTCATTTGTTTCTCTAGGTTTCACTTCGTTGTCCTATGTTTTAGCATTTTATTAAAGCTGTTTCTATGAATAAAGTAACCCTTCCTGTATGTCTTCAGTTCTTGTTTTTGATGAGTTTGTTTCTCGTGCAGGATCATCATCTGTAGATTTTCCATTATGCAGTGATCCGATTTCGCAAAGTAAATAAAGAACAACTCTGTTTTTGTATTAGTTTTTTTTTTGAAGTGAAGCAATTTAATTTTTGAATGTTGTAATTTTGGGTGTTGCCTTATTCTACAATCCAAATATGGTAGGCCGAGTTATCCTTGGCGGAGATATGTCTCAGAATCTGAATCAGCTGAGGTAAAACATAACCAACAAGATCCAAGTCTTCTTTCGCTTTTTTGGCAAGTATCAGTTGTGTTTGGTTTCAGGTCTACAATGAGAAGGTTTCTATAATGGAAATGCTAAAGAAAGCCAACTCTTTTATTCCTCATGTGATTCTCTCAAGTACAATCTTAGCTCTTCTCTATCCACCTTCTTTCACATGGTTCAAGCCAAGGTTCGGATTAACCTAATTACTAACTTGATCAAGATCTTAGTGCCAAATCTTGAATACTATTTCTCCTTCTTTAGGTACTTTGTGCCTGGCCTAGGTTTCATGATGTTTGCTGTTGGAATCAACTCTAACGAACGGGACTTTCTGGAAGCTCTTAAAAGACCAGACGCTATTTTCGCCGGTTACATCGGACAATACTTGATCAAACCTCTCTTAGGTTATATGTTCGGCGTGATGGCTGTCTCTCTTTTCAATCTACCGACTCCTATAGGTGCTGGAATCATGTTGGTATCATGTGTTAGTGGAGCTCAGCTATCGAACTACACAACTTTCTTGACCGATCCTTCACTCGCGCCGCTTAGTATTGTCATGACATCGATCTCAACAGCTACTGCAGCGCTCGTTACACCAATGCTTTCTCTATTGCTCATTGGTAAAAAGCTTCCCGTTGATGTGATTGGGATGATCTCTAGCATTCTTCAGGTCGTGGTTACACCTATTGCCGCAGGACTACTTCTGAACCGGTGAGACACCAGCCGAATCAATTAGAAATGCATGCAGGCCTCAAAGACTTAATCAGGCTTCAAGCTTGACCGTAGTGATTTTACTAACCAATTTCATATTTACATGATCATTTTCTCCTAATTAAACAGTTTCAGCGTTATCATGCCCGATTCTAAGCACACCCAGATGAAATACTCTCATTGGTTCCAAATTTTAAAGAGTCGTTATAGGTTGTGTATAGCCTTCAAATTGTCCAAAAAAAAAGTTAAGATTTAACTTAAAGAATATTTATGGCTCTCTACATTTCAGATCCGGCCTAAAAGTTTTAAAAGCTACGAATAACTAACGTTACATTAATGTGACTGCAGGTTATTGCCAAGGTTGTCTAGTGCAATCAAACCATTTCTCCCAGCATTAACGCTTATCGATATGGCTTGTTGCATTGGAGCACCCCTCGCTTTGAACATAGACTCAATCTTGTCTCCATTCGGTGCAACCATTTTGTTCCTCGTTATCACGTTTCTGATATGCCCTTGAGGGTTTATATTTCGAGAAAGAGGAAACAGAGTAGGGAGGAAGGAAGTGTGAAGATTGCAGAAGCTCAAGAAGAGTGATGAGCTGGCAAGTTTAGTATTGTCAATAAACTGTAAATAGAAATGTAACTAGTCCTGTATATAAAGGACGTTAGGAGTTAGTTACAGAGTCATTCAGTTAGAATCAGTTGGCTTGATCTCGACTTGTGAGATTCAAGAACTTGGCTTAGTCTTTTGGATTGTAGAAGCTAAGAGTGGGTGGTTGGGCGGTTCTTGTCAATAATACTACTTAGTTCTTATCAAATTGGTGCGGCGGAGCGTTCTGGATCGAACAATCGCGGCGAATCATGACGAGAGCGACGACGTTAGAATCGTTATCACAGACGGTGGCGACGAACTACGCCGAACAACAAGAATCAACGATGCAATTACGCGCGTCGATGTCAAACTTGGAAGAAAAATTTACGGAGCTTTTCAATCTTTTGACGAAGAATTCTACCGCGGCGGCGAACACGGATCTGCATCCAATTCCGGCTACGAGCGATAATCAGGTACATAATTCTCACCTGGAACCTGGCCGTAGTCATAGGACAGCGGAGGTTAGGGTTCAAGATTCGTTCGGAGATCACCGGGATATGATAAAACGAGTTGAACTGCCTGTTTTCAACGGCGATGATTCGTATGGTTGGATTGCCTTGGCGGAGAGATTTTTTCGAATTGGAGGCTATGGAGAGGAATCTAAGATCGCTTTGGTTTCGGTTAGTCTGAGTGGAGATGTTCTGAGCTGGTTTAACAGTGAGATTTTGAGGTCTCCGTTTGAGAATTGGATGGATTTTAAGAACAGATTAATTGCAAGATTCAGTAAAGTGAAGTTGCGTGATCCTAGTCAACCTTTCTTCAATGTGCATCAGACGGGATCTGTGGCTCAATACATTCATCAGTTTGAAGATTTATCAACTCAAGTAACTGGAGTAACTGATAAACAGAAAGAAGGTATCTTCATGAATGGTCTTACGGAGGAGATGAGGGAAGTGGTAACAATGTGCAAACCAATCGATCTCCCGGATATGATTGCCACGGCGTACCAAATGGAGGACAGTTCTTTGTTCAGTGTGGTGAAGAAGGAAGTTCAAGCACGAAAAGCTAGAGGGGGTGGCCCTAATACTGCTCAAAGTAAATCGTACTCCAGTTATAACACTAGTAGTGGTTGGAAGCAGAAGACATCATCACAGACTGGTGATACGTCTCAAACTAAGCAACAGGGAGCGACAAAACAACCGTTACGTCTCACTGAGGCGCAGATAGCTGAGAAAAAAAGGTTAGGGTTGTGTTTCAAGTGTGATGAAAAGTGGAGTAGACAACATTTGGTGAATGGTGTTTGTCCAAATGCTTCTTTGCGAGTTCTAACGGTGCTTCATGGTATGGAGGTGGAGCTTATCGATCATGACGCTACTGATATGGAGGATGATGATATAGTGTGGGAGCCACAATTAAAGACTATCTCATTACGGTCTTTCTTTGGAGTTTCTTCCCCGACAACCACTAAGATGAAAGGAAGTATTAAGAAGCATACTATGGTCGTGATGGTGGATAGTGGTGCTACTCACAATTTCATTTCACCTTCTATGGCAGAGCAGTTAAAGTTGACTATTGAGAGAAGTAAAAATTTGGAGATTCTGTTGGGCACGGGGGTTTCTGTTCAAGGAGTGGGAGTTTGTAGGAATGTTCAGATAAATCTGCAGGAGAGTGCTTTCATTACGGACTTCATTGTGTTGGAATTAGGCAACGTGGATGTTTTTTTGGGAATGTTGTGGTTGAGGACGCTTGGTAAATGCCAAATTGATTGGGAGAAACACGAGTACTCGTTTTTCTTTCAAGGGAGACAGGTTACTTTGACTGGGGATCCGTCATTGCACCGACCACTTAAGACAGTGCAGTCAATGCAATCTATTGAAGACGTGCCAGAGAACCTGAATGAGCTGTTAAACGAGTTTGTGCACATTTTTAATGAACCTACGGAATTACCACCAGTGAGAGGAAGGGAACATGGGATCAATTTACAACCTGGTCTTGGTCCTGTTAGTGTCAGACCATATAGATATCCTCAGGTTCACAAAGATGTAATGGAGAAAAGTGTGAAAGAGATGTTGGCTACGGGTGCAATCCGTCCAAGTCACAGTCCTTACTCAAGTCCGGTTCTTTTGGTGAAGAAGAAAGACAATAGTTGGAGGTTTTGTGTGGATTACAGGATGTTGAATCGTGCTACTATACCGGATAAATATCCTATTCCTATGATAGATCAACTCTTGGATGAGCTGAATGGTTCTAAGTGGTTCTCTAAGCTGGATCTCAGGTCTGGTTACCACCAGATAAGGATGAAAGAATGCGATATTGAGAAGACAGCATTTCGAACGCATGAAGGGCATTATGAGTTCACTGTTATGCCGTTTGGATTAATGAATGCTCCAGCTACGTTTCAATCATTAATGAATGAAATCTTCCAACCATATCTGAGAAAGTTTGTCTTGGTGTTCTTCGATGACATATTGGTTTTTAGTTCAACCCTGGAGGAACATAAAGATCATGTGAGGGAAGTCTTGAGGATGTTTGAGAAGCATAAACTATTTGCTAACAGAAAGAAATGTGCTTTTGGACAGCAACAAGTGGAGTATCTAAGCCACATCATTTCTGCACGTGGAGTTTCTACGGACCCTCAGAAGATTGAGTCAGTGGTAAAATGGCCTATTCCAAGGACAGTGAAGGATGTGTGTGGGAGTCGATTTCACCCTACTGTCAAATAAATCGTAAATAAGGAAACTTCGGGAAAATCCTAAGTTTCCAGAGGAACCGGCTATCTGCGAGAACCGCACAACAAAGATTAAGATGACTAAAACACTTAGAATAAAAACGAAAATAAGAGAGGTTTGAAAGCAAGAAGGTTCTTATTCCGAATCTGCGTTGAACT